AACCTAATTTTCCGTGAGTTTCAGGCAAGTTGAACATTAATATTAAGTTTTTAGCTGTGGAGATTGATCACATGTTTCTGTTTTTTTGGGACTATTGATTTCAATTTTCTGTTTAACATGGTATTTGTTTACCGTTACTGTCGCATGCTCGAGGAAAACAAATTTTATGGGAGATCCGCGGACTTCTTGATAATGTTTCTTTTTGGAGGAGTTCTCTCTATTGTACGTTCCAATAATTATATTATCTTACATTGAAGGTGGCCGCTGTATTTCTTCAAATGATCTTTCTAAGTCATGTTCTTACAACAATGCTAGTCTATGTATGGAGCCGCAATAACCCATCAGTTATGTTAAATATCCTGGGTTTGATTACTGTACACGCTCCCTATTTGCCCTGGGTTTTCTTCGCGATTTCTTACCTTTTGGGAAACAATGCGACTGTAGACTTTGTTGGTACCATCTCTCTTAAACTTAAATTTTCCCTAGGCATCGTGATTGGTCACTTATATTATGTGCTTGAAGACGTCTTTCCAAACCAGCCTAATGGATTTCGCATTCTTCGAACGCCTGAGTTCTTGTAAGTTATCTTTAATTTTCACCATCACACGCATCTAGGCGAAACCTTTTAGACAGAAGGAATGTTGATCCATCTTATCAGCCTCTACCTGAAGAGAGACCAGGTGGATTCGATTGGGGTGGACAATAATCGTGCATGAGGACACTGCTGCGTTGTCAACTCCGACAGAAGTTCTTCACTTGTGCCATTCATATTTTGTTTAATTTTTTGTGGTGGCTTGTGCAAAGATCAGCTTCCTAAGACCCATCCGCCTTGTAAACCTTAAAACTCTTGTTTATTGGTGGCCGAGAAGTTACGGTTTGTGCTCTTAAGCATCCGAGTGTTCTGTGTAGCAATACTAATTAGCGCATTGAGACTTTAGGGTTTGTTAGGCTACGTTTACCTGAAAAGAACCACGCGAACTGGAATGTCGTTAAGTACACCCTTAATGTGCAAATCATTGATGACACGTGCTGGGTAGCTGCTTTATTGATGTCGACGATATGCCATGTTTTACGGCCCCACGAAATTTTCAAGTTTTAAAACGTTAGCTAAGGGGGACGTCTTGCCCAAGCCGTCTCCATGGGCGTAAAATATTAGGCTACACGTAAAACTTTATTCGTCATGCTGATACTGAGGTTAAAAAAATACAAAATTTAAGAATAAACTCTCTTATATACAAAACTATAGACCACGGCTCCCTGTTCCAGATAATAAGGATTCCGGACAACTTTGCTGTAAAAGGGATACCAAGTGCTTCTCGATGACACGCTGGCTTGACCGCGCACCTCGTCGGATCGCCAACTGCAACGCATCCCAGCCGTCGCCATTAGTTGCAGTCACATCGGCTCCCCAATCTAGGAGCAAGGAGACTATGGCTACGTGATTGTGGAAAGCTGCAAACATTAGGGCGGTATTGTTCAACTCGTCAGATGTGTTTACAGGGAGTCCCGCGCGTAGGAGGTACTGAACCACGTCGTAATGTCCTCGGCATGCTGAAAGCAAGAGAGCGCTCTCACCGTTCACCCCTTTTATAAAGGGATTTGCACCGTGAAAAAGAAGAAGTTCCACTGCCGATTTTTGACCGTTTGCGCAGGCCCATAAGAGTGGGGAGAAGCCCTTAAATATAGACCATTAAGCGTCAGGGTGAGCTGATGTATCGAAGATTCAGTTATGGGCCTATTTAATAGGGGTTAGAGATGTTGCACATTTGCAATAAAATCAAAATGTTGGGACCCATAACGCATTCGGGTGAAGTGATTTCCAGTACTGTCAGTGTCAAATACTCGAACGTTCGACGGCTCATGTTTCAAGTAGCAAATATCACGGGTCTATTAAACTTCAATAACGCTAAACGACTTGCATGCTGGTCACCGGCGTGAAACAATGATCAACCTTATCGTCGGCGGAAATCTAGAGGCGTGGGAAAGACATAAGAACTGAGCCTAACGTTGAAGATAGAATGACGTAGTACAAAGCCTATGGGTTTGTTAAAAGATAAAGGAGCAGGTAAATTGGTCCAAAGACTCCATTCTGTTCTACAAGAATGTCAGGACATCACAAATTTCTCCAATTTAAATTACACTAGACCAGTAGTGGTATGACTTACTTGGACGTCTCGTTCATCTACATCGACACCAGGTGTCTCCAATTTAGACTGAAGTTGTAAGAGTTCGCCCTGGGCAGCCATTTGAAAAATAGACAAGGCTGCTTGAGAATCAACTTTAAGGGTTTGCACATTGCGCCGTTGGAGGTTTGTAAGAACCGTCGAAACTTTGTTTGGTGATGAGCTTCTTATTTTATTACTATCCTTTCTTGGGAGAAACGAAGGTGGTGGAACAACGACTCGGAAAGACATTTATAGTGTGGTGTGTGGTGTGGTGTAGCGGAATGGCAGGCGGCAGCCATATTGGTGACGGTGGTGAGCGCGGCGCGGAGGCGACGTCACGT